TTCGTTAGCCATTTGGAAACCTTTGAAGATTGAGAGTTGGGCATGAAGATAGGAAGGTTTGAATTGCCATTGGGGGAACAAAGTGCCAACTTGCCTTTCAAGTCTTGAAGCCCTTGGTCGATTTTGTGGTTTGGATTTCTTTTCCCTTTATGTGGCTAATTAATTCCTCCTATTGAATTGTGATTGTTTACCCCATGGATTGCTAATATAATTAGTAACTAATTCCATTATTGTTTTAATATTGTATTGTTTATTTTTTTTTGAATGTTTTACTTGATTGTAAAGATTGATGAGTGAGTTTACTTATGATCTCTTGGGGGAAAATTACATAGGTGGGATTAGCTTGTGAGATTTAGGACCCATTGGAGGAAATTTAACTCATGGAAGATCGAAAATCGGGCTATATTTAAGGTAGGTAATGACATTCACCGTGATGGTAATGGGAATATGACGAATTGAGAGTTTAGAATGGAAGAACGGAATTAGTTAGTCAACTTTAGAATAGGAATTCAGAAAGTTGAGAGTTACTTAGCGGCAAAATAGGTAACTTAGGTTTAATTTGTAGCCTACTACTAATAAGGTTGGTTGATCGAGGTCAAATGGGTTGAGATTGCTAATTAGTGAGATGGGTGACGAGCGCTCGTGAGCCTGGGGACTAATAAGGCGAGAGAACCCGACCTACTTTGATTGAGCCGACTAATTAGCGAAGTAGTGACAACTTACCTTATGCTCCTATGATAGAGACCTTCCTTATTGATGAAATAATGAGCATGGTTTGAAAGTCATATCCATGGGGTGATCAAAAGAAATTCATAGGACCCTCGAGTATCTTGATTTCTCCCCCTTTCTTATTTTGTTATTTATGTTTTCTTATTTTAAATTATTTTCATTATTTACCATCTTTTCATTACCTTTTGCTTATTGGAGTGTCTTAATGGTACAAATCAGTACTATCCTCGTGGGATCAACCCTTACTTGCATGACACAACGACGGACTTACACTTGGGCCTTAAGTGCCTGCGAATGAGGTTATTTTTATTTGTTTGTTTGCGCATGTATGATATGTATTCGTTCAAATATGCACACAACACCTACAATCTTGTGGAGGATCATAATTCCAAATGCTTCTACCTTGTAAATAGTAGATGTGCATCCATCTAATCCAAAGACTGTCGTTCTTTAACTCCAAATCCCATAGTTGTTTGCCCAATAAAGCTTTGTTGATATTTAATATTTAATCCCCCTTCTGTCCTTCAACAACTGAGATCATTCCAGGCCACTAAAGGCAAATATTTGCCAGATTCCTGTGTTCCCCATAAAAACCTCCTACAGCAAGCTGTAATATGAGTTATGACAGACTGAGGGATGAGGAAGATACATGCCCAATAGCTGTGGAGTGTCATCAGAACTGAGTTTATTAATATTGTTCTTCCCTCATAGGAAAGACGTCTAGATTCCCAACATTTGATATTGCCAGTTACCTTGTCAACTAAGTATTGGCATTCTAATTTATTCGATGAAGTAGGAGCAACAGGAAGCCCTAAATACTTCATTGGAAATGACCCTATGCAAACTCCATCAACTGTCTGATTATCTCCTGTGTATTTCCACCTGAACCACCAAAGTGAAGACTGCGCTTCCCTTCATTTATTCTAAGGCCAGCGATGCTAGGAAAATGTTCGAAAGTGGCTTTAACCTTCTATATAGTTCTTATCTCAGCTCCATAGAATATTAGTAAATCATCAACAAAGCTTAATGATGTAATGTTCAATTCCTCACAGTAGGGATGTTTAACAAAACTTTCCTTACTGGCCTCCATTCTGAAGCATCTTGTTAGGTACTCCATAACCAATAGAAAGAGCAATAGAGACATGGGATCTCCTCGTCTCAATCCTCTTTGACCTTGGAAATAACCAACACTACTACCATGTAGATTCAGTAAGAAGATGAAGTAACACATTCCATAATCCACTTCCTGAATCTTTGGAGAAACTGATATTCCTTTAATATTTCTTCTACAAACTCCCAATGGACAGAATCATAACCCTTTCTCAGATCAACCTTCATCACACAGGATGGCTTAGCTGATTTCTTGTTGTAAAGCCTGATCAGTTCCTTAGCCAACAAGATATTATGCAATATCAACTTGTGCGGCACAAATGCTCCCTGGTTACGATCCACTAGTTCTGGCAAAATGATGCTCAATCTATTACAAATAATCTTAGAGATGCATTTGTAAACAGTGTTGCAGCATGAAATTGGTCTGTATTCTGTGGCATTTCTTGGACTTTCATTCTTAGGAATTAAGGCAATAATGGTAGAGTTAATTTGATTCAACAATTTACCAGATTTGAAGAATTCAAGCACAGCTTCACTGAAATCATTACCCACCACATTCCAAGCCTTATTATATTATCCACTGCTGAAACCATCAGGACCAGAGCTTTTATTTTCATCAATACTAAAAAGGGCTTCCTTTACATCTATTTTAGTGAAGTCTTTACTCAGGAGAACCTGCTGGTATATAGTCAGTTTCATCCCTGAATCAAAGGCTTCACTCTTAGCAGTTGTTCTTGCAACCTTCTAACCCAACAACTCTTTATAGTAACTCAGAAAATGCGCTTCCACTTTAGACTGCTCTTCCACCAATTCCCCATTTTCTGTCACATAAGATTTGATTATGTTTCTATTCATCTTTTGCTTGATTGCTACATGGAAGTATTTAGTATTCATATCACCTTCACATATCCACTTCTCTTTCATTTTTTGAGCCCAAAAACTCATGACTGCTTTTGATTCCATAGTATGGTCCAGAACTGCTGCTTTTTCTAGTTTCTGGTTCTTCTCATTTAATGGATCATGTTTAATTGCTTCCTAAGCCTATTCCATTTGTATTCTGCATTCCTGCTCCTTTCTTTCTATACTATCAAAGTTTCTATTGTTAAATCCTTTGAGAATTGGTTTCAACAGTTTCTGTTTCCTCATTAGTATAAATTGTTTGGTTCTTTCAACTTCTTGCTTCCAACCATGATCAATTGTTGTCATAAACTCTGGATGTTGTGCCTACATGTTGAATTATCTCAATGATCTCTTAGCTCGCTTAGGTGCTTCTCCCTATCTGATTAAAAGAGGATTGTGATATGATATTCCAGCAAGCAGTATTGTACAATAGGCATCAGGGAATTTTTGCATCCCTATCCAACTTGGAAAAAATTCTCAACTGTCTAATTTTCTTGTTTGTCCAAGTAAATCTGCCACCATACGTTTGCATTTCCCACCAGTCATTATCTTCAACCATATGTTTATACTTCTCAGTATCAGGGCTTAACTCATTCCCACCTCCAAGCTTGTCCTCTTTCTGCATGATACAGTTAAAGTCTCCTAGGATGATCCATTCCCCTACAACAGTTGTGGAGATTTGCCTCAAATCATTCTACACACTTTCTCTTCTTTGAGCATTACTATATAAACTATAGTTTGAAAAAAACTCTTTTGTACCACCTATTTCCTGTATAGAACAATGAATATCTTGTTCAGTTGCATATTCCACCCTGGCTATATATTATCCTCTTTTCCACTTATTCATATTCTCCCTTTATTTCCACCTTCACTATTCACCACATAATCATATTGATTCTATTTTCTCTTCATCAACTCCTCCACCTTCTCATTATTTAGTTTGGTTTCTAGCAATCCTGCAATTCCAACATTATTCACAAAGAGAAAGTTTCCAACCTTTATATGTTTCAGGGGACTATTGAGTCCCCTTATATTCCATGAAATGATGTTCTACATGGTTACTAGGTCCTGGATCAAGGTGATTAGAAACTGAATAACAAATTCTATTAACTGATCTTATTTTTTCACATATCCTTCCTTAACTCACCCTACAAACCTTTCTGATTCAGGATGTGTATACCTTCTTCGGGCTCCTTCAGAGGACTCCTTTGTTCTCTAGCTAGACTTTTAGTTGGTGATCTACTAATAGGAGAGCCAATTGGTGACAGCTGCACCTTCCTACTCACCATCTTACTATGTCCTGATGTAATCAACTCCCCCTCTTCATGCTGAATTTCTTTACCTTTTGGTGTCATAAGACACTGTTTTTTTTCCTTCTGAGCATTCCTTAGGAGCTGGTAGTCTACAAACCTCAGCAGAATGACCATATCCTTTACAGTTCTTACACTTGACAGGTTTTTGTTCAAATATCACCTTCTACTCTTTCAGCTCACCATCTTCATCCTCATACCGTAGTCTTTCCTTCACTTGATCTTGTATTTCCACCTTCACGAGAACTCTTGCATAAGCAGTTCTGAGTTTTTGTGCTATAGTGCCATCCATTTCTACCGGATTGCCTATCATGCTAGCCAACTTGCTCAATGTAGTATCATTCTAATATCTGAGTGGCAACTTGGGAAATTGAATCCACACAGGCACTGTTTTAACATCATTGATCTTTATCTCATCTATTACTAACCATTCCTTTACAATAAAGGGTCTCTTATCAAATAGATAAACAGGATGCTTAAGCACTTCTTCCTTCACCGAAAGAGACTTAAACTAAACAATGTACATTCCATTATCAAGAAACAAAATCTTATCCCCACTTAATTTCCCCCATTTCTTCTGATAAATTCATTCATCACTGCAAACGAACGATTCGCCCCCAAAATGTAACACAATTGGAGAGAATATTCTGGAAAATTCAGTTGTGTTGTAAACAGGCTAGGATGCCACATTTTGAAGGAACGCAATGATTGAAATTGCCACAAATATAATTCCACCAAATTTTCACATTCCACTTGTCGCATATCCTGTAGAGACGTGCCACAACTCCTTATACACGTGAAATTAGAACATCTGATTATCTTCAAACCAGCTAGATTTGGACTCTTATCATTGTCACATTGGCCAACACATGAGAGACAAGTTAGCCCATCCATTTTATCTGTTTCAAACCGGTAACTTTGCTCAAGATGTTTCTTGCAATTTACGGATGGTCATTGCCATGGATAGTCAAAATTTTGAAGACCTGGGAAGTGAGTGGGAGTGGTGATCAGTTGAGGACACTTCTCAATCCTCAAGTATTCAAGCACGGGAAACACTACTCCTTCATCATCACCTACTTCCTCCCAATCACTTAATTTTTGCATCTCAACAAGCTCAAGATTTTGAAGGGCTGGAAACAGTTTTGTTCCCGAGAGCCACCTTGCGGATCCACCTGTTATGTCATCAATGCCATAGAACGAAGCCCCGATGCAACTTATTTTTTTGAGTCCTGAAAGTAGATGTTTAAGAGATGAAAGGCATCCGACTGCTGGAAGTTCAACAGAATTGCGGCAGTCTCGTAACTCCAATATAACTAACATCGATAGCTTCTGAAACCATCGAAAAGATGTTTGCCCATATAATTTATTAATTTTAATTCTCACAAATTGGAACAAGGCATGCCAACATTTCTTGATGAATAAACCAGCTATGAGTAGAAGCAACCAATGTTTGCAAACTTGCGATCCAGGATCGTAGAATCGCCGGATCCTACGATCCTAGGTCACTAAATCGATACTGGATCGATTAAACTCGTCTTGTGCGGTAGAATAAGAGCAGGATCGTACGGGATCGGACAAACTCGTAGAATCGCGTAGGATCGTTCGAATGCACCGATTCAGCCTCCAAAAAATTTATTGGACTTGGTTTACACTTAAAAGGCAAAAACAAAAAACACAGTGGACCTTGTAGTCTTGTACACGTTGGACCATTTATTTCCTTGGTCCAAAACCACAAAAAAAAAAAAAAATTATTCCTATACTTAAAAGGTAATAAGAAGTAAAAACCCTATCAGCAATTTATTTTCTTTAGTCTTCACTCTTCACCATTCCCACTTGTAGTCTTCACATTCTCAAAGGGAAAAAAAATTTCTCACGGCCTCCAATATAAATCAATGAAATCAGTTCAAGTTCAACCTTCAAATCTTCATCTTCTCATTCAATTTCAACTAGATTCTTGAATCTATGATATTAATAGATGGCCATGTTCTTGATCCGTAGTTCTTTAGCCTCCAATTTCTCCGTCCATTTCTTACATCAGATCTATAGTAAGTAGTAACACCCAAAAAGGAGCTTCTAAAATTCAAGAATTCAAGAAACCATGAGGGATATGGTATGGATTCTCTTCCCTGGTAGACTCACTTCCAGGTTTAATTTTCCCTTAATTTTTTCTTTATCCAAAGTGATTATTTAGTAAAGTCATTGTTGGGTTGCACAATTTAGGATATGGTAAATCATTTAATTTGGTCACTCGGGTTATTTGTAAACTTTAGTTTATTCTTTTAGAAGTGATTTTTGATTATATTTTGGAAATGATTGATTTTGTAAAACACCTTCTACCGGGAATCACTAATCATTGTTCTACTTTGCAGTAATTGATTAAAAATGGCTAGTCATCACGGAGGTACGTAAGCTTCACGTCCACCACAAAAAGTGAAAGCTAACGCTCCTGGAGCTCGTTTGGATCCTGAATGGAAATATGGCATTGAAGTTGATCCTACTTGTAGAAAGGTACAATGTAAGTTTTGCAAGGAAATTCGATCTAGCGGAGTTTTTAGGTTAAAGCACTATTTAGCTGGCACTCGTCCCTGATGATGTCAAAAATGAAATTATTGATTTGTTAATTTCTTATGAGGAATCATGTAAAACAAGGTACTCTAAAAAGATGGTTGCTGCCTCTTTAGACTCAAACCCTGTAAATGAAGATGAACTGAATATTTTTTCAAGGAGTCGTATAGAGGGTTTTTGTTCAAAAAACAAAGGTGTTGAGTTAAAGGCGAAACAAGCAACATTAAATGATAGGTAGAAAAAACAGGCGAGGGATTTCGTTTGTCAAATTATGGCTCGATGGTTTTATGCATGTGCTATTCCTTTTAATGCAGTAAAAAGTCCTTACTTTAGTCAAATGGTGGAACAAATAGGGGAGTTTGGAAAGGGATTGAATCCACCTTCATATCATGAGGTGAGGGAAACTTTTCTGAGGAGAGAAGTGACTGAGATTTTAAATAATGTTAAAAAGCATAAGAAATATTGGAAAAATTTTGGTTGCACTATAATGTCCGACGGTGGAATGATCAAAGAAAAAGATCGATTGTGAATTTTCTTATAAAAAGTCCAGCTGGAACTGTCTTTTTGTTCTTGAAAGATGCAACTGATATTTGCAAAACACATGATAATATTTTTAAGATGTTAGACAAAGTTTTTGAAAAGGTTGGAGAGGAGAATGTTGTGTAGGTTGTCATGGATAATGCTGCTAATTATAAGGCAGCATAGACTTAATGTTGGAAGATTTCTAAAAGTCTAGCCCTTTTCTAAAAGACACTATAGCGAAGGGTAAATCAATGGTATTATTTATGTACTCTTCGTGCACACTTGTGAATTGGATGAAAGGGTTTACAAAAGGAAAGGAGTTGGTCAGACCTGGAATCACACGTTTTGCTACATCATTCTTGACTTTCAGGCGCCTCTATGAGTTGTGAAGCGAGCTGATTTGTTTATTTGTTTCTGAAAAATGGGCAGAAAGTGTATATGCTAAGAAAAAAGGTAGAAAAGTTTACGATATTGTTTTTGATGCTCAAAACTTTTGGCCAAATGTTGATTTGTGCTTGAAGATTTCATAGCCAATCATAAAAGTTTTGAGGATGGTTGATTCTGATGATAAGCCAGCCATGGGATACAATCGAAACAAGTTTGAGAAACTCCAAAAAGAGGTAAATATAATTGCATTCAGTTTGCATATCTTTTTTGCATTTCCATAGTAAAATCTTATCTTCTCATTTCCGATTTCTCTATTTCTTCAAATTTGTAGATGTGATCCAATTTTTCAAATTATTGATGCAAGATGGGAAGGAATGCTCAATCAACCTTTGCACTTAGCTGGATATTATTTGAATCCGAAATACCAGTACAATGAGTTACAAAATAATTCAGACATCAAGTTGGCACTTCTTGAATGCATGAGAAAGTTGGTTCCTGATTGTAATGAGAGGGATAAAATGGATATGCAACTTATCAGATTCAGCCGTGTGGTGGGTGGTCGAAGCCTCCAAAATAAATTACCAACTTAAACTGTAGATTGGATAAGTCGGGTCGATCCCACAGGGATGGGTTAAACTTCAAATAACCGGAAAACAAACAAGAATAGAAGAGTTGGACAAACAAGGAAGAAAATTGCAGACTCACTTGCCCAAGTGACAAAGTCACTCACGCGAATGGACTCTGCAGAACTGAAGGCAAACAGACAACTGAAACCTCACTCACAGGAGTGAGAATTCTGACTCAGGGGACTGACTCAGCAAACTGAGATATTCATTCTCTTTTCCCTATGTAATCAAGTAGTAATCTTGCACTCTCTTGGTATGAATTTATGCTCATTCAGGCACTTATATATCTCTAACTCACTACCGATTTTTCCTAAAGGTATCTTTATAAACTCAATTAAACTATTTTCCAATAATTAATAAAGTCATGAACTCATTAAGTATTCAAGCCTTACATGAATGCTTATGCTAACCAAGTATATTCATATCTCAATTAGAACCTTTGACTGTTACCTCCAAGTCATAAGTTGAAGCTGAAATCTATCCAAACCAAGTTTATCTTTTCAGATCTCTCCTAGTTCTAGCATGCATTCAATTAGTGATCAAGTAACCGAATGTAGAAAAACTTTCAACTTCAAAACATGTATTCAACAAGTGCATTACAAACTCAAATTACATAGGTTCCAGAGAATGAAATCTGACTAACTACACATACAAACTACAGAAAATATAAGAAAGGAACGAAAGAGGCGAGAAGAAGCAAATCTGAATGCTGGACAACAGGTCACTCGTCTTAGTGACAAGCGAGTAAGGCCTATTATCCCTCCTTTCTGCAACTGGGCTTCTTCTTCTTGGAGTCCCTTCCTCTCTTCTTCGGGTCTGTGTAGTGTTGGTGTGTTGTATGTGTGTTTTTTGTCCTCTATATGTGTTCTTTATGCTGGGAATGCAGCTTCTTTTATAGAGCTTGTTACCGGTTCTTCTTTCAAGAGAGTCTCACCATGCTTGTGTATTTTTTATTAGCCCCAATGTCTTGTGTCTTGAATCCGGTTTTGATTGGCCTTGTTCCCTTCTTCCAGCAGTGGTATCAGCAACAACATTGATCAATGCGGGTGGTTGGTTCTTCAGCAAAGGAGACAAGCATGCTCTTAGGTTTCTATGGTGGGACACCCTTATTTACTCGCAACGTGCTTTGTGTCTTGAAGTTACTTTTGACCAGTTCAGCAAATTTGAATCCAACAGCCCAATTTATGTTCCATAAGCCCCCTTTTTTAGCTAATGTTCACTCAGGTCCTTGTCTAATTAAAAACACAAAACTAGTTAAGTAAAATGAACTAATTATGAGAAACACCCCAAATTTCTTACTAATTAAAGAGTAAATTGCCATACTTTTATGTAACAAATTAACCGTCATCAACTCCACTTTTGATAGGTTGTCGAACACCCCAAAATAAATTATCAAATTAAACTCTAGATAGGATAAGTCGGGGCGATCCCACAGGGACGGGTTAAACTTCAAATAACCAGAAAACAAACAAGAATATAAGAGTTGGACAAAAAAGGAAGAAAATTGCAGACTCACTTGCCCGAGTGACAAAGTAACTCACGCGAATAGACTCTACAGAACTGAAGACAAATAGACAACTAAAACCTCACTCACGGGAGTGAGAATTCTGACTCAAGGGACTGACTCAACAAACTGAGATATTCATTCTCTTTTCCCTATGTAATCAAGTGGTAATCTTGCACTCTTTTGGTATGAATTCATGCTCATTCAAGCACTTATATATTTCTAAGTCACTTCCGTTTTTTCCTAGAGGTATCTTTATGAACTCAATTAAACTATTTTCCAATGATTAATCAGGTCATGAAGTCATTAAGTTTTCAAGCCTTACATGAATGATTATGCTAACCAAGTATATTCCTATCTCAATTAGAACCTTGGATTGTTAACTCCAAGTCATGAGTTGAAGCTAAAATCTATCCAAACCAAGTTTATCTTTTCAGATCTCTCCTAGTTCTAGCATGCATTCAATTTGTGATCAAGTAAACCAAAATGTAGAAAAACTTCCAACATCAAGATATGTATTCAACAAGTGCATTACAAACTCAAATTTCATAGGTTCCAGACAATAAAATCGGACTAACTACATATACAAACTACAGAAAATATAAGAAAGGAAAGAAAGAGGCGAGAAGAAGAAAATCTGAATGCTAGACAACAGGTTACTTGCCTGAGTGACAGAAGTCACTCAGGCGAGTGAGGCCTGTTATCCCTCCTTGCTG